TAACAGTGTGTGAAGTGTTATCAATTTAAGCGGTTTGCTCTGGGCGACGATGAATCAATCAGTGACTCAGTCAGTCAGGACAAGTAATTTTATATATTTAGATCGACAATAATTTAATTTTATTATTGAATTTATATTTTACAAATACGTGAGCCGTTCACAGCCCAGCACACTTATTTGTAAAATCTAAGTGACTCGTACAACATGGAATTTATATAAAACGGAATTATCAACAGTGTTATAGGGGGTTCGACTGTACATTGTTCTCCACATTTGAAAATTAAACATGATGTTTTTTACCACATTATAACAGGAGAAATATAAACGTTCTAAGTGATCCCAACACTCACCTACACATACCGGTCAAAACATCCAGCGCCCTCTGCTGCTCATTTACTTATTTTTGCCCCTAAGAATTACACACCACCGATTAGTGGGACAGTAACATCAACTTTGGAAACCATTGTTTTACATCTTTCTTAAAAATATGACCTTCAAAGATAACACATTTCTCTGAAATTTCAAACATATCTGATGTAAATCAATATAAGTTTAGATAATTTGTAGCCACTTAAAATTTGATATGTTTATGTTTTGCATTTGAAATTTCAGACGAAATTTCTGACAAAGGAATGAAATTAAATAAAATTTTTGACGAGACTATGTCTTACAAACTACAACTAACCTGTTATACAACTAACTACTATATAGGAGAAACTAAACGCAAACTGATTATACGTGTAAAAGAACATATACCTGATCTTAAATATAATCGTCTAAACTCTGTTTTTCATAATCATTGTTTAATAAATAATTGTAACATAGATAGAAATAATGTTAAAATCCTATAGAAAGAGAAAAACATGTATAATAGAAGATTTAAAGAAAGTGTCTCAATTTTAAAAGCCAAAAATTGTATCAACAAAAATTTAAGTGTAAAAATAAACGAGAACTGGATGAAAATATTATAATATACGCAATACAAACTAATATTGATGTAATTATTTATAAAAGTTACCCTATTGTTAATATTAATAACTGTCTTTGTAATATGCAAATCAGTAGAACACTGCAATGAGGTATGTAACGCAGGTACGGTTAAAAAGGAATAATGTAACAAACCGTCTATTTATATTTTAAGATATGTACTGTACGTAATTATGTCTATGACTCCTGGATACTGTCATAAATATATAAGAAAATCATTTATAAAAAATTTTTAATGAAATTACTCCACTTATTGTAAAATAAGATGTGTATACCAATTAAGACCTTTTACGTATAACAGATTAAAAATGAATATGGTAAGAAACATACGTTATTTTAATACTGTTTTGTAAAATATTTTATGTAATATTTTAAAAATTATATATATTTTTTAGTTGACTGGTGAGAGGCTTTATGCCCGAAAACGTGCTGTTGTCACGTATCAACTAAAATGATGGGAATAAAGCCAAGTGTTTATTTATAACTCAAATGTGAGTTCAAAGTCCAAGACTATGTCTTGTTTACAAAATCGTACTGCCTGCTGTGTTACCAGCTTAGAGGTATGAAGGAGTAAATGTCAAAAGTTGCAATTTGGCACAAAGTATTAGGTGCCCAAATCATGCGCGTATAAAAAACCAGACTTGTACGTACTCGGGGAACCGAGAACCGAGCCAAAATAAAATTCAAAATGGCTCATGCGTTGCTCGTTGGGAAGTTGGAAATGCCACTGGTGTATGCTAATGTGAAATCTGGAGTTAGGAAGGAAGCTGATTGTTTTCCTACGGCCGACTCACGAGATGAGTCAAAAGTGTGGCCTTTGCACATCTTTACTCGGCCATCTGAGGAGGCCGATATAAAAAGAGATTTTTCCCGACATTCGAGGAGTCAGCCATTCGAACGGTTCTCCATACGATGTAGAGAGTCCGTTATACGATGAGTCCGCAATTCGAAGAGTTCTCCATAAGATATAGGGCAGTATAGAACAAGTGATCCATACAAAAAATACCACAGAAGAAAAATGAAGATTTTCCATATTTAAGAAGACCCTCTTCTCATACATGAAAATATTCGAAAGAACTTTGAAGGTAGTATATATATGATTCAGATCGATGCAAACTCTCTCTCACGCGTTAGATTTAAGATAGGATTGTTAGGTTTAATTTACTTAATCGCGATTTTAATTTACTTAATCCATTTCATTTGTATATTCTTTTGATATTTTGTTTTATTAAATATTTTCGTTTTGTTGTTTCAAATATGGCTCTTTTGATGATTGATATTCACTACTCTGCTTATTCAAATTACTTGCGTTCCTCATACTCCCAATTCCATGGTTACGCGTGTTAATCCGCGTTAAAATAACATTAACTTGTGTTGGAAATCTGACGAGGAGAAGGGTGATCACGCGATTGTCTCTCTCCGCCTTTATTTTACTTCATAACTGTAAGTCCCTCCACACTCGATGTCTTTGGTAGAAAAACCATCCTTTTAGACAATACGAGGGCTATTTTCACGATTAGCTGCCGAGTAAGCAGTACACGAGTTTTACGAACTCCGTATCCCCGGCCAGCTCCTCACACTAATGAAAAAAGTTTGGGAATCGCTGGATAATTTATTAAATTATTGTCATTATGTTTTATAATTTCAGTATGTTGTTTAAATTTTCTTTTATACATATTTTTCTCTACGTGAAGGATTTTAATATTTTTTCTATCAATATTACAGTTATTATTTTTGATATGATTATACCAAGGAGAGTTGTTGTACTTTAATATAATGGCTGCTTAATGTTCTTTGATCGGTAATTCTAAAGCACGTCCTGTTTCACCTATATATTTTTTTGGATTTTGGCAATTACAGTTGATTACACCTGTTTTTTTTCAATTTATCACTATTAGTTTTATATGTTTTTAATCTACCAATATGTACTTTATGTGAAATTTTATTGGTCAAAGCTGGGGCCAAGACTACACTCTCTTTTTTAAGTATTTTATTACAATTATCATACATGTTAGTGATGTATAGGAAGGCTTTGTATGTTTTGTTTTTCTTCACTTTAGGAATCAAGGATGATTCCTAAACTGAAATACACTAGACCCCCCTGTAAAACGGGTTCCTATAATTACGATTCCTATAAAACTGCGAAAAAATTGCGACGATACCCGTAAAAAACGGTAAAAAAATCCTATAATTACGTAAAACGTCATCGGGCAGCCGAACTATTTTCCGCCGTCAAGCGCCACGCTACGGAGAAATTACTATCGTCTGTACAGTATTATATATAAATTATATATAAATTAGATACTGTATATATAATTATGTATTAATTATATATAAATTAGGTACTGTATATATAATTATATATTAACTTATTGTAACTTTGTTATAATTAAATATATAATTTCCGCCGTCTAGCGTGGCGCCACGCTACGGAGATTTTTACGCTAACTATCGTCTGTCAGTATGTAAATTAGGTACCGTAAGTCTAATACAGTACTGTAATTTTATACATTTCTTGTGAAAGAAACATTTCTTATTCAACGGCGATTAAAATTATTTATATTAATGATGTCTCCGAAGTTAAACGAAGTTTTCGCAGAAAAATAAGTTATCAGAAATCAGCCGTGGTTTGGTGTGCTGCTTCGCGACGAAAACAAGCTTTAGCAGTGGCGATGTCAAATTGTGCACACTCGGTAAGTAATCCTACTTACCGAGTATTTCCGTATAATCCGTATTTTGGAGATGTTGAGTCGGATTGGTCTAGAATCGATTAATTTTATGGAATAAAACCTTTCAATCAGCCGTAGTCCGTAAACTTCACACGTGTCGGGCTGTGATTGGAAGGACTCGTAAGAAATCAAATTCCAAAGAATGGAACGTATCTATGATCTTATAGGGGAGTCGACTGTAAATATCCGACACGAAATTCGAGAAAAAAATTATATAGTTTATCTGACATATCCCGTTCTATCGCACAAGCTAATTTGACAATCTAAATAATAACTTTGATCAAAACTTAATAATAAATAATTATTACATGTTACGTATTTTGTAAAATAAAAATCACTGACGACTCTTTTCAAAACTGTAGGAATATAACAAGGCTCAATCGAAAAAAAAAACCTATTTTTAATAGCGAACTGTTCATAACGGAAATGATAGACTCAAAACAAAGAGTCTATCAATGCCAGAATGTTTTGCACCAGTGGCTTCGACTTTAACCTCGCGTGACCTTTCATACCTTTCTATTTTCACGGTTTTGAAACTTTCTGACATCATCGATGCATTGTTACGAACAACCAATGAACATTTCACTTCGAACCAAGAAAATTGTAACCGCATCCCAGTGTTGTTTTCTGAATTACATTGAAAAAATATTTAATATCAACAACTCGAATTTTAGTATTCTCTTCATTGCAAAAGACATTAAATTTTACTTCATTTGCATCTATTTCTGTTGTCAAAAGTCAAATTATTGAATAATTTAAGCTGAAAGACTTTTTCTACTTAAGTTTAATATCGTGTGTTTTTTTAATAATTTAATTTTCAGTAATAAATTGTAAATAATTTTGATGTTAAAATTTCTTTTTTTTTAAAAAAAAAAGGTTGCTTTTTTTCAAGATTTATCTATAGTGAATGGTAACCAGAAAATGAACTCTAAAAAATGAAGTGTGGTTATTTTCATAAGTGGCACTTAGTCGTTAAGAAATTTCACGAATACCGTGAGATATTAAAAGGTATTTGGTTTCGACCTTACTTTGAATCCGCCTATAAACGGTGGACAGCCGAAGAGGTCGAGATAGCATCGAATCCGGGATAACCCCCCCATAGATTTTTACTGATAATCTGATTAAAATGTGTTGCGCTTCGTCTTTCACCACCGAGATGTCCACCTGAGAGCATTAATAAATGTATTGATAAAATGGGCCTGAAAAGAAAAGGTTATCTTAGTGCCTATAGGATGAATACAAACAACAACAACTTAAATAACTAAGAAAACTTCGAGAGTGAAAATTAAATTTAATTATTCGAAATGAAAATGCATAATTTTGTAAATATTACGAGATGAACATTATATAATAAAAGCAAAAATTAATTTGTATATCCGTTTTTAAAAATAGGGCATAACATCGAAGTAGATGTAGTCAAATTCATCTTTCAATTTCAATCCGGATTGCAAATATTTAAACGTTTCAATTCCTTCCAATGGATTGTAGTAATTTGCCGAGGGACTGATTCTTACATTATTTTCTGCAATGACGTCTCTCTCTATAATTGTAGCAATGAATCGATAAAATGTAAACTTTAGAATCCGTAGAGGACAACTCAATAAAATATATCCGGTTTTATTACATGCATTATTTCCAAGACGAAATTTCGTCCGTAAGTTTAAGTTGGCAAAATAATACAAATCTACAATTATTCCTTCTTCCCTGCAATGTGTTATAGGAAGATGCAATTCGTTGATAAAACAATCTTCCTTAACAACTATTTCGCATATAAATCGAATATTTGTATTTATTTTCCTTAATGCGTTAATAAAGTATGCACTTCGATTAACATAAGAGAACCAGGACGAGAGTAATTCGTGTTTTCTAGGACATGTAATGTCACAAATACTCTCTGGAATAAACCATGTCTCGTCATAATCGTTATTTTGCAAGTAACATCTTATTGCATCTCTCTCTACGTCCGTTAAGATCGGTTCAACGAATACTTGAGATTCCAGAAACCATTCAGGCATTGTCAGAAATCGTATGTACGGAAGAAATGGTTCCATGACCTGCCTTAGAGATTTTTCATTATTAACTCTTTTCTTGGCCCATTTTAAAACTATTGAGAATATGTCTGTATCGTCAATAAATGGATTTATTGGCCTACGAACGAGTCTATCCATAGTTGTTGCTTCACAGTTCAGCCATTCGTCCGATGAAAAAATTTCCTGCCATTTCGAACTTAATATATTCCAGCACAAATATTGTAATCGCTCATCCTTCTGTTGGCATGCTAAGTCATATACATAACACACCTTTTTAACTCTTGACGGATCGGTCATGAAATCTCGACATTCTTTATTTAAATTACGTAGGCCTAATCGTTTGCTTATGCAAAATATGTCCGTTGCATTCTGCATGGATTTAATGGTTTCTCGTCCTTCTTCCAGATATCTATAAACAGAAAATGCGATTAAAAACGAACTATAATTAGAGCCACTGTATATGATTTAAAACTGATGGTAATTATGTGAGGGTCGTAAAAGCGCGTAGAAATTTCGACTAATTACAAACTTTAACGTCAGAAAGTTTCTAAGACAGAATCGGGTCAAGGGGATGTGTTAGTGACAAAGCCCAGATGAGACGAAAACTTTCTCGAATTGTAAAACAAACGCGACGCAACGATAAATAACAGGGGGGAATGTCGACAGAGAGAGGGAGAGCTTTTCGAGACGCGCGCGAACAAATATCGGGTCGAAGCAAGCGGGAGAAAGGGGGGTCTAAGAACAAAAGGGATATCTGTGAAGTAAGAACGCGGTAGGGGATAAATGGCCACAAGAACATCTGGTGAACCGTTTGGGTTCCAAGATGACAGAGAAAAGGGACATAACGGAGTAAAATACGAGCGCGAACGTTAAAGGACCGTCATCACCTCTCCGACCTTTTCCCGACCCGAATCGGTCTCGGGTTTCGCCTAGAAACAAAGGAATGACCAATCGGAGTAAGGGAGAGGGTGAAAGGGACCAATCAAAAGGGTGAGATTCGGGGAAAATCTTATAAAACCCCCGGGTCTCAAGGACACGAAGCAGATTCTCTCCAAGACGCCAGGCCCGCAGCACACGGACACATACTCAAGAGGTCAGGATAGCCGAGTCTCAGCCGTGCACTGGACCCCCAGCATCCAGAACGCCATAACCGCCGCATCCTCGGACACCTGAACTCGCATCAAGGATGCAAGATCGTCAGTAGCTACCTCATTGAGCCCCGGGGCACAGAAGAAGCGAAACCTCAGCCGGCCAACGAACTTATTTTGTTATTCCTGTTGTGTAAGTTAACTTCATGTCAAAATAAACGGTTTTCGTGTAAGACACTTGTCATCTCTGTCTCCTACCGCCACCACCCACATACGGTTTGACCCTAGGTTTTCCTGACGCGCAATTAACGTATTGCCCCCAAAATCGGCGAACTTACAATTATCGTTATAACAGAAGAAAACGATATTAATGCAAATTAGAATATGTCAACATAAGAATTTAAAAGATAATTACAGAAACTCACTCTTTGATTTGTTGCAAAATATCCGAGGAGTATGGTAAGTAAAAAAAGACAGATGTTATGTTTAAATAAGGACGTAGCATGGATTTTAGTCTATCTCTACATTCACACAAAATGGATTTTGAAAAATGGATCTGTTGTTTGTCATTGCAGAATACTGTAATCCGATCCATTTATCGTAAATAAATCTTAAATACGCGATATAATGTAAATAATGTAAGAAAATTATTGTCGAATTTACATTATTATTTCGTTATAAATACCTACGCACAATATTGATTTTAAAGGTTAATCGTAATTAAACTTAACGATGGTTATAGCTGTTATTAACTTTAACTGTTATTTAGCAGTCCAAATGCAACCAAACATTGTATAATGATATTTCAGGACATGCAGAAGACGTAAGAATATTTTTACCAACACATATCAATTTTGGCACTGCATGCAACAAACATTTTATTTGTACGAGACACTCCTGTCATATAGCTTTGTAGGGGATACTACTCAATGTGATTTCATTCAATTGTAATCACTTGGTTACAATTGATTCTCACCGAGTAAGGAAAATCGTATTCCAGAGACTGGGAACACGTTGATCGATTATTATTTGTCTAATTACTTTGTACAGAATTTGCTTGCTGATTTCCACATTCTGATTACATATAGTGTCTTCCGTCTTCAGCTAAAATTGTTTGATAACCAGTTGAATATTTTCTAGTAAATTATAGTTTACCCAATGAGAGAAATGAATATTGAATTGACAGTTTGATGCAACGATATATACGTGCTCTCTATGAAGGGAAAGATGCCTCCAGGAAGGTGTTATATGGAAAACCCGTCCCTATTCAGTTGTTAGAAACGTGAATAAAAAAATATCGGAAAACACCGCGCAGCCAGGATATAGAAAATCGTCAGAATTGCAAAAAGAAGAGCCATCGACAGAGTAGAGAGAAGCCAACTCCATCAGAAGCTTTAGAAATTGAGATAGTAGCAGAAGTGCTCGAAAATGAGCCTCCAGATGTAATAATTGCTGAGGGAAATACTTCAAATCTTAGTTTTCAACATATTAAAGATATGTGTTGTTAATTTCCTTATATTAATTAAATTGAATACTGTATTATTATTATATAGAATTATATTATATTTTCCTTATTAATATAATAAAAAAAAATAATAATAATATTGACAAATTTACATGAACGGCAGTAAGTCAAACGGCTGTTCTCTGGACCGAAACTAAGAGGGAAAGCCAAGGTTTTACACCTTCTGCCCGAGAGTATATAGTCAATATCTGAACAACAAACATTAATTACAAATCATATAAAATATATAAATAATTTCAAATATATAAACAAGCAATAATAATAAATTAATATTATAAACAAAGTGGCTGTATGGCTTTGTAGTTTTTACTGACGAAAAGCTATGACATATTTTAATTCCAGTTATGGGAGATATCTCCAAAAACATACCTGTAAACATTACAGGTACAGAAACTGCCGTCACGCATGCATTGATCAATACTTTTCAGATTATTACCGTTCTATCTTGGATGTACACGAAACACAATACAGTATGAAATTTTTAGTCAATGATTACATTCGTAATTATTAGGCTATGGAAAGTCGTGATATTGGGACGTCAAAACTGTAAATAATGTCCAAATTTTCATTATAAACAGTTGAAGACTATTGATCAACGCATGCTTGATGACCTGTAAAGTTTAAAGATGTTTTTGGAGATACATTAGTAATGAGCCACTAGGATTTGCCATAATCTTCTAGTAGAAAATTATTTTGTGTGTGACTTAAGCAAATTACTAATTTAGTTGAGTACAACTTTAGAATTGTTCTAAATTAAAGTGTAATTTGATCGGACTTCAAGTTGTTTACATACGTTAATCCTCATTCAGATATGCCCAGTAACATATCCGAATAAGAATGCGAATGGCATAGTTCGTTTTAAATAAAACGAAGTATGCAATTGTCTCGAACATGTTCACGATCATAGGGAGAAGTAACTTGAGAGGACACCTAATTTTCTTAATAATCAGAAATTGGATTTTTTCCCCCGCTTGTGTTAAAAATTGTATTCCCTAATATATTTTTACCAAGTAATGTTAACTTTTTTAAGAAAATAAATCATTTGTTGACATTTTATAAGTCCAAATTGATATTAAAAAGTTACATTTTTTATGATTTAACTGGTAAGCATATTAAAGTTTCCCACTTATTTGTATATTTCTTTACAGGATTGTGTAGACAAATTTATGAATTACTCTTAAGTTTTTAGATTATTCTTCTAAAAAATAATAATAATAAAATTTACAGGAAGAATTGAGACAGGAAACAAGTTTGCACCAATTTATTAATAAAACAATTCTGATTAGAGCAACTATCCAACAGAATTTCAGTTGGTTAATTGTACTGAAAAAATTTTCACCATGATTTGGACTAGAAAAAGATTTGAATGTGAAAATGATGTGGTAGACATTGAAATACTCGGTACTACAGGATGAACATTGTTTTATGTGCTAGAACAAGACAATATGAATAATCTATAGAAGTGATTATCCGTAATGAAATTATGCATCAATTATACATCATCGTGATGAGAATGAACGAGTGTAGTGGAATCAATCAATAGAAACATGATCTAAATAAAAGTATAAAATAGATTCAAACAAATTATATATTTACAACCAGAGATAAATCGTATTCTCTGTTAATGAAGAAACAAATTCGTACGATGGCACGGCGGTTTAAAACCAAGACAAACGGATCTCGATTCCTTTGGTCTTTAGACCCATGAAAAGTTCGAATTAAAATGCCAGGAACTTTTTATGCAAATCTCAAGTAAAGCCTTTTTAGTGAAAAACAGCGTAACATTTCAGGCAGTGAAGGAATAAAATAGTACACCATAATCTATTCTGGTTACATTCTAACTGCATATACATCTTATTCCAAAATAATGTAGTGCAGCAAAATAAAAAAAAGAACAATTTTCTTCTTCTTTTCGAGAATTTGTGCAGTTTTAATTGCTCTAGCGAAAAATTGCTTTGGTGAATTTTTAACAACAACAATCTTGTTTCGTTCAAAAACATTATATTCCGCAAACATCTACGTACGTAACATGTAAAACCCTTTTTTTTTTATTTGTTGAGTTTTGCCTGCGGGTAATCCGTCCGTAACATTTAAATAAAGCTTTTCTCGTGCCTTCTCGCAGACAGAGTGGTGTAAAGTGCCACTCGCAATAGAAAATCAAGGTTACGCACTCTTTCATCACATTAGTTTTTTTTTGGCAGTTTCCTTTCTTTTCCAGTCTTTACACAATGAAGAAACTTCCAATAGTACGACTCCCTTAAAAAATATCTTAAGAACAATTGGATTCTCTTAGATTTCTCTTTGCCAGATCTTGACCCATATGTGCAATATTTAAAAATATAATGTTCGTTATAAAGATCGTACGTAAAGATTATCCCGATAAAAGAAATACTTTTTTTTTTGTTGTTTTCTTTCCTATTATGCTCGAATTCCGATCGTACGGTTGGAATATTTAAATCTGCTGCGCTTGGCTACAGTATGAATGAAAATGAAATAATTTATGATATCTAATGCTCGTTAAGTCTCTAAAGATGAACTGGCAGAATTTCTTCCCTTTAAAATCAAAGGAAACTTGATATTTATATGGCAGTGTTTCATCTGCAGAAATATTTTACAGGAGTAGAACTTTCACAAAATTGAAATCTGTTCTTCTTTTTTGTTCAACTTTTTTCTTTGTTTTGAATAATACACCACTTAAATTGAGCATTCTTCCCTATGACGTAATCATGTCTAGTTGATCCTTGTATTCGGTGAATAGGCGCTGAAGACGTAGATTCGATCCGACCACTGGTAAAATCTCTCTTAACAGATCTCTCTTATTCATACCCTGTTATAAAGGAAAATTGTGTGTATTTCGTGCTATATTTTATAAAAATTTCACAATATATTTTTACCATACTAAATGTTACAAATGGTATGTTTTAAGATACTCACTAAAATATATGGGTCCCATTGTGCCGATTTAGCTGTCTGGATAACGGGTCCTAAAAGCATGTCGCATATATCACGCAATCTAGATTCTAATCCTGAAATTAGTTCAAATTAATTAGCAAAAGCATTAATAATAAATATATATATACTGTTGATAATATCTAACTACTGATTAACATACTCGGAACTGAGCAATTTTCTATGTTAAAAAAAATCAGTTGAAGACAGAAATCTGCCAAACTGAAAAAAATATTCAATACAGTGAGATTCTGGTTTACACAGGTTTTATTGTGTATATGTTACTGTGAATGACCGATATCTGGCGAATGTCAGCATTCACAGTCATTTCGTGTATGTACGAAATATTTGCTAAATATCATTATTTCACATTTACACCGGCAAATGTCGACATTCAGCATGCACTGATGGTGAATGATGAATAAAAATATTTTTATTACGTTAAGACAAAAATGCAACTTTTTAATATAATTAAATTGAAGAAAACAATGACAAATGAGAATAAAAAAATACTTATTTTTAACATTTGAGACTGTTTAAAAGACAATGATTGACTATTAAATCTTTAAAATATATTTCTTATCAAAAACATTTACCTTCCTGAGTAAGATATCGAACGAGCGTTAACAGCCAAAAGTGATATTCTTTTGGTGAATGAAGAGAAAGAGACGATGTTAACTGAGTATCTAAGTGACTGAGAGTCCCCAACTTCTGCATGTTTGGATTTCCCCGGAATAATGTACACGCAATTTTTGTGGATCTAGAAAAAATTTAATTTAATAACAAAATTAATTAATGGTATTAATTTTGTCATGCACATATAGAATGTAAATTTACTTTAAAAAATCTAAGTTCCTAACCGTTTGAATCTGAGCTTCTTAAAATATTAATACTTTAGAATATACTTAATGATGATATAGTAAAGTAAAATTTATGTTAAATTAAATAGCCTTATATTAATGGTATATTACATACTGAAACAAAAAATGAATTCATTAAGCTGCAATCTTTAATAGATTAACATTAAAATTCTTTAAAAAAAAAAATGTTATTTGTAAGAGAACATGATTTAATGTATAAATAATATTTATAACATACAGTATATTTATAATATTATAATATAAATATAGTGTAATTACATACCTATGAATTTGTCTTTGTAAAGAAGCAAGAGGAAACAAAGTACTGTTAGAAGTATCCTGTACAGGCATACATGACTGATGATTCGAACAATGTTGTATTATGTCAGTAGAATCACTTACAAGCATCCTAAATTATTTTTAACAATATAAAACAATAATTATCTATTCAGGTAATTCTAAAGCATACACTAAAGTAAAACTATTATTAATTTAAAACAAATGAACTCTAATAATGTTTTTAATTATATAAATTTTTACTTAGATAACAATCTTCTATAGAATTCAGATTTCATATTGAGTTATGATACAAATTGTATAAAAATTCAAATATATTTGTAAATGCATTCTAACGAATACATTCTATAATACTGATTTCCTCAATTAACAAAAATTATAATATGAGTTAGCAACCATCCTATTATACCAATTAATATCAAGTTTAGTTTAACATTTTATATTTAATGTCAAGAATATCAAAAATTATATTATTTTCATTTGGCAGTGTCTACCATTATTTATAAAAATCAAGTTTCTCACAGTAAAAATAGAGACAGATATTTATTACTATGCATTTCTATATAAAAAAATAAAAGCCAATCTAGTAAATTTAAAAATTGTTATTTTACTTAAGAAAATGCAAATTTTAATTTATGTTACATTATTATATTACTGAATTCTAACTTCCAAAAGACAGTCAAATTTGTTCTGTTCTTTCAATTATGAAAAAGCTCAAAGAATAAAATCTAGTTTCTGAACACAAAACTTTAAAAATCTTCAAGAAATGCAATTTCCTCATTTCTATGAAAAAACAAATTGTCACCGATGTAAAAAATTCTTAAATTATAAATTACTCTGTGAATAAATTACACTGGCAACAAATATTTGTTACAATCACAACAAATTTATTTATTTTTCATTCAGTATTTAAATGTTTAATTACACAATAGGACTTTAAATCTGAAAGACAACTAATAGTCTTCCGAATCAAGGAACAATTTATTTGATATTTTTGTACTTTACGACTGATTAACATCAAACTTTTCTATTCAACTTTTGAGTCTTTTCTTTAAATATAAAAAAATCTAACATTAATTAGTCTTAGTGTTAAAAAGCCTTATACAAGTTCATCACCAATTTTCTGGCACTTCAGTTTTAATCAAGACAGAGTTATGAGAAAGCATTCAAAATTCCTATGACTGTGCTGTAAACCACAAGTCTGGCTGTCAAAGTGGGCTACAAACATTGCTCTATAAAAAGTTACTACAAAATTTTTTTTCTTTTCTATTAACATAGACATTCATATCACCTATATATATTTGTATATACCTATGAGGGCTGATCAAAAATATTCAGGACAGAATTTGTTTTTATAATGAAACTACTAACAGCAGTAATTTGGTAACCATGGAACTTATTTGACTACATCTCCTGATTATATGCACCAGAGCAGCAGGTAGCAGCACTACTCAATTGTCAGTGAGTTGAGCTACAGTGCAGGCTTGTGTTTCTCTGTGTTGTGAAATGGATGAATTGAATGAGTAATATATTTGCTTCATATTTTGTAAGAAACTTGTTAAGATGGCCACTGAACAGTCTGGGAAACAGCAGTCAATAGATCCAAAATATTTGAGTGGATTCATGTTTAAAAACTGGCTGCACTTCAATTGATGATGAGCCACACACAAACTGATCAATGGCATGAATCAATGAGACTGTTGATCATCAGATTGCCTATAGCAGGTGATTCTCAAACTTCGTGTTCTTGGACTAGTATTTTTTCATTCTAATCCCTGTAGATCAGTACTTTTTGAAATTAAATAATAAAAATAGTTAAAAATAGAACAAAATGGAGTTTGTATACGTTTTTTTTTTTTTTCATTTTACAGTAGAACCCCTCTAGTTCGCCCTCAGCCAGTCCGTCACTCCAATTAATCCAACCGTGGTCGGAGTCGAGAAACTTGTCTGACTCATCGGTGACTCACCGTCCGTGGCGTTTTTCTGTGTTCGTTACAGTATATGTTTTACATTGCGTGTACATGTACAGTTTTGTGTGTGTTTTCAACATGTCAGGAGTGAAACATACACACGTTACTCTTTCATTAAATGAAAAATTAGCAGTGCTACAAAGACTGGACAAAGGGGAAGATTGTTTATTTTACTTTTTTCTGATAATCAGACCTTTTTTGCATTCCGATCATACCCCCAGTCCCAAAGGTGACGGATTCGAGGGGTTCTACTGTACTTTAATTTTTAAACAAGATTTAGTAAGATATAGTAACAAGACTTGGTTCTAATCATTTTGAAAAAATCAGTTTGTGGCTATTTTCAAGTAATTTCCTAGGCTTATTTCAATCACTAGTCATCCCTAGAACTAGGTGTTTAAATCATAAAGAAAAATAAAAGTAAAAAAATAATGTTTCTAAATAGTTTTATTAATGTAATATATAAAATTTTAAGTGAAATACTGGTCCACAGACTACAGTAAAACTGATCTACAGAACTGTTCTGCAGTGCCTTACAGGTTCAGTTTATCAGAAATATCTTCACAAATAGTCTTCTGGTAACTGGCTTCTGCACTATGACAATGTGCCAGCCATTCCACATAGCTGTGAGTATTACAGGAATTTTTGGCCAAGTGCAACATTCTCATAGCTCACCCACTACTTGCAAGATTTTACCAGATGCACGTCTTCCCCTTTCCCTGCTCAAAAGCACTTTGAAGAAGAAATGAAATGAAGACATGGCAGAGATACAACTGAATACAAGAAAACAGTTACATTGCATTTTCTAACAAGCTTATCAGACAAGCTTGGAAAAGTAGAATGATTGCTGAAATTGCTGCATACAATCTGGATAGCCATACTTTGAAGATTCTCCAGTGATTAGTAACTGTTTTTGTTTTTCTACAACAAACTCTGTCCTGAATATTTTTGATCAGTCCTCATAGGTCCTCCACATAACTGAGAAAACACCGAAAGTGCTCTGCCACTTTCAGAAGATTGAGAAATACTGTTATAGAGTCATGGGAGGCATATACTATTATTATTACATAATTTTGGTTAGATCTGGTAAAACCATTAACCAAGCCAGGTTTTGGTAAAACCATTAACCAAGCAAGGTTTTGGAATAATGTAGAAAATTGATGATAAAAATGTATACATTAAATTGTTTGATGATTCCTGCAAAAGTCTGTTTGTTACCTTTAAAATTTAAAAATTTTAAAGAATTATACATCAAAATTAAAAAAGAAATAATTTAAAATTTACATACCATGATGACATCTCAGAACTAAAAATATAAGATTTTCCAGTCGACAGAGTGATCATAGGAGCCCCTCCAACAGTTAGGCAAGTACTGCATATTGTGATGTCAGTTGGTCCTCCTATTAAAATATATCTGAACTTTAATACACATAAAATATATAACTTTTATCTATAATTATTTCTTTTGTATATAATAATAACTTATCTTTTTATTTAACTTATAATAAAAAATATAATACAATATATGTAATACTCTAATATTAATATGTGCTTCTTGTCCTTAATTACTTATATTATGCCGGTATCCACTTTGGATACAAGCATGGACTTATGAACTATGACTTGTTATACTGAGGAAAAAGGAACACACTATTTCCAAATAAGATATATTTATTGGTTTCTCTTCCCTTAATATAACAAATCCTAGTTCACAAGAACATCCAAAGTGGACACAACCATAATATATAATACTCTAATTTTTAAATTATTATTATTATTTAACTTACAGAATTAATACACACAGAAATGTTTTAGATTTTTTCATAAAAAATTTCTAACAATATATTAATAGCAAAAGAATTAAATATTTAAATATATTTATATTAGTCTAATATATGATATAGAAGATTCATGATCAAATTAGTGTGATGGGTAAAGCAGTAAAATCATAAGCCTGCCATTTCAAGAAACTTAGATTTGGAATATGTGTTGAATTCAAATGGATCAATTTTCATTAGTGATCAATTTGAATATGTTGAGCTCTATCCCTCACCACTCAGCCATCCCATTGGGCCCACCCAAATTCATAATGAGCACAAAAAAGGCCCTTTTAGTATGCCTACAGGACAGAAACAGTTTTAAGAAATGATTATATTTTAATAATGAAAAACTAAAAAAATTCTTAAATTATTTCATCTGAAAATGGACTTGAATTCAAAATTGCTTTATTTAGACAAAAATATTTAAGTCAACAATAAACATTAATGAAAACTGATATAGAATTAAACCATTAGATATCCTAACATTAAACTTTTAAGTTTCATTACAAATTTATAAATCATGTCTTTAAATTTAAACAAATATTTTTTCTGAGTTTAGAGCAGTTTAATAAAATAAATATCTTAAGCTATTTTTCAAAATTCATTTCACTTTTAAGTGGAAAAATCTTAACATTAAATAAACTTCTACAGTTAAAAAATAAGTTAAATATACCTTGCATTATTGGAAGTAACAATTCATCCTTAACCATTACTTTTAAATGCTGCATATCCCTATAAAAAAAAATAATAAATGTTAAAACAGTTCTATAAGATGCAATCTTTCAAAATGACTTTATAAAAAAAATATTGAAAAAGCAATTATTATAGAGTAAAAATTAAAATATCATATTATATTAAAAAAATCAAACTTTAATATTTAGAACCTGTAAATAATTTGCACAAATATAGGTGGAAAAGAACCTATAAAGAAAAATCAACTCTGCTAGTGTTAATTATGTCCCAAGTGATTGTGAATGAATGTTCAGAAGACTAAAAATTTTTCTAAAAATCATAAAAAATATCTTCCTTATCATCCTTTCAGACTCACAGGATTGTAATTGACAAAGAAGACTACAAGAATATATTTATTTGTATATGTCTCTAAACTGTATTTTTTACAATTTTTATAAAATATAAATTTCGTCCTGAATTTTTTTAAATTTATAAATTTTCTTTGTATTTACTCTTCAATATTGTACTGTACATTTATTTATATATTGTTATAATATATTTTCTGTTAAAATTAAATTTTAACGGAAAATAAATTTAGTAGTTATTTAACAGCTATTCTTGATCCATTCTATCTTTCAATCAAACATATTTTGCTATTTTCTTTTGTCTACAAATAGTGATAATGTGAATATAAAAAGTATTTTTAGTATACTTAAAAAAAATTTGATCTTGTATAAGTATTTTGTATATTAATAAATAAAAATTTGCATCCATTTAAATTAAAGAAACAATTATTTTTATTTTTATTGTAAACTTATATATTTGAGGAAAATTGCAATGAAATTAGAAGAGATATGAAAGAACATTCTATAAGTCTTGAAAATACACAAACTATTGAATAATTATAAAAAAAGATTGTGAGATATCTATCACTGACAAACCAAGATCTAAATGTCTATGTATCTGATAAAGAACATAAAGGAAAGAATCAGAAATCATTAAATAGAACATGAATCAATATTTACAAATGAACATATTTAAATGCAGAACTATATAGGAAAGAGAAAAATAGAAGGTCAAATGTTGATCATGTTTTCAGTAAATTTCCTTTGTCTGTTGACAAAGGACATCGTTATAGCTACTATCTTTTGCTATCTGTCACTTTTTGCCTTTTAGAAAGTAAGTTACAAATCAAATCCACATTAATTGGATAAAAAATACATTCAAGTAATATGATCACAGTAAAAATTGCTAATTATTGATATTTTTTTCTGTTCCCCAGTAGAACAATAATCATATCATATAGACTCGAGACTATCAGACTATCTAGTTCTCTAAAATTTTGCATCAATTTGTAAATCTTATTTTTAAATCATTCCATAAATGTAAGTTTGTATATTTTCTAACTGCTTTAAAAGAGTTATTCATTATTTTTCTAAAACTGATAGACACTTTATAAAAATCATAAAATAACAATTTTTTAAAGTATTTTTCTGGTTATAAAAGAAAACATGATACAAAAATACATATTGTTCATTTTAAGATAAAATAAATATTTATTCATTTACAAACAATAGTGCCATAAATATATAATTTCAACTTATTTATTTTATAATTAATGAAGTTTGAATTCCAAATTAAAAACTTTATGCTTACCAAACTGAAACAGAAGCCCGAGATGTAATCACCATTACAAAATAATCATTACATGCAAGCCTCGAAGGTGGAGAAGATAAAATAATCGGAGAATATAATCTTCTTCCCATCGTGGTAAAAACAGATAATGTGCTATCTTCACACACAATGCAGGCAAGATATTTACTGCCACTGATGGCTGCTCCTCGACTTGTTAACAACGTCTGCCAAACATGTGCTCCATTATTTAAAAATGTTAATCTATGTACAGAAGTTCCATTTCCAGCAGGAATATCATTTTCTAATTCTAAAGTAGCAATATGATCACTCTTTCCACAACTGACCTGTTTCAAAAAGATACAAATTTTACTCAGATAATATACAAAAAAATTACATAAAAGTCTTTAATGTAATATAATGTGAGAATTTCAAAGATAATGAATGTGACAATGATAATACTATTAAAATATATTATAATTTTATACTACTGGGTGATTATAAAAGACTAGATACAGTTTTACTTAGTCATTTTACATTTATTTTAACACATTAGTCTAACCAGAAATATGCATGATGTCATTTATACTACTAGAAAGGGAAAGATTGAATTCCCAGCTTTTATTTATAATTGAATTCTTTGTACTGTATATACAAGTTGCATGTCCACATTATGTAATATGCATTCAGAAGGATTCAAATTTTCATACAATCATAAAAAAAACATTCAAAAAATGTACAGGATTAAAGATGTTTAAAGATATAATATCTTCATATATATTTAACATTATCATTAGTTGTAGAAGTTTCAACAACATTCTTACTCTTAAGTGACACATGAGATATTAAATTTGAAGATCTTAAAAGAAATTATTTGTTTTTACGAGGGCTGTTTGGAAAGTTCGCGGCCTCACATAGAAAACCAAACAAATTAATGTTAAACCTTTTTTTATTTTTCAATGTAATCTCCTCTGTTAGCAATGCACTTATTCCAGCGATGTTCTAGCTTTTTTATGCCATCACAATAGGTCGATTTGTCAAGGTGTGCAAAATACTCGTTCACTTCAGAGATGACTTCGTCATTTGAGTGGAATCTCTTTCCAGCCAAGAATTTTTTTAGGTTTGGAAAAAGGTGGAAGTCACTGGGGGCCAAATCAGGTGAGTACGGTGGATGTGGAACTAATTGGAAGCGAAGTTCGTTTATCTTTTGTTCAGTGATTCTGGCGGAATGTGCAGGTGCATTATCGTGGTGGAACAGAACTTTTTTCTTCTTCAAGTGTGGCCTCTTTTCTTCGATTTCTTTCTTCAGTTTTTCCAAAAGTTCACAGTAATAGACAGCATTAATGGTCTTTCCTCTTTCTAGGTAGTCAATAAAGATGATGCCTTTAGCATCCCAAAAAACCGAGGCCATCACTTTACCCGCTGATGGAACTGTCTTTGCCTTCTTTGGTGGTGGCGAACTGTGGTGTTTCCATTGCTTCGACTGTTCTTTTGTTTCAGGAGTGTAGTAATGGATCCACGTTTCGTCAGTAGTCACAAACCGACGCAAGAAATCCTGTGGGTTTTTCTGGTAGAAGTCCAAACACTCCTTTGACATCAAAGTGCGAACACGTTTTTGCTCGGCGGTCAGCAGATGCGGCACCCACCTTGCTGAGACCTTCGTCATACCCAAATCTTCGGTTAGGATGTGGTGCACTCGGTCGACAGAGATGCCTGTTGTCTCAGCTATCTCACGCGTTTTCAAACGGCGATCTGCTAATACCAAATCGTGAACTTTGTCGATGTTTTCTTCAGTGACAGCAGTTGACGGCCGTCCGCTGCGAGGGTCATCTTCCACACTTTCTCTGCCAGATTTAAAAAGGGCTGTCCATTTTTTCACAGTGGTGTACGAAGGAGCAGACTCTCCTAAAACTTCATCCATGTCAGCTTTGATTTGAGATGGGGTCAACCCTTTTTTCGTCAGGTATTTTATGACCGCACGAGTCTCCGTCTTCTCCATTTTTGACAAAGCATGTGCACACTGACTATCTGCTAAGCTGTCGTGGCAAAACTTTTTGACAAATCAAGCGGAAATTGGTATCGTATCTTTAGCAAAGATGGCTGAATTATTTCCGCCAAAAATTAAATTGATTGCAGCGCCGCATATAGGCAAGGTCGCGAACTTTCCGAACAGCCCTCGTAGCTAAGCTAACATACATGTTATTTTCTTAAATTACAAAACTTTAAAGTAATAACAAAAACAATGTTTTCACTATATTAAAAGTATTGATTACCATATTTTTATCTGATTTATTTTGTTTAAACTGTTAAGAAAAATTCAATTAGAAAAAATTTTAAAGTAGCAACTATATCACTAGATTTTCAGAACAGTTTTTAGTCATTAATCCTTGAATGTTAGAAAAATTAACAATTGGTAAAATGTATTTATCAATTATTGAAATGTAAAAATTAATTAATAATTAAAGAATAAATAAAGCTTTTAATTAAAACAGATAATCTATTGGGCTGCAATTTTCAGATTGCAAAACACACACATTCCAGTTGTTATCCATCTGTCTGTCCTTTGTTAATCTTGAAAACAGAGGTATATAGATGAAAACCAAGACCACATGTGAGAAGCTTAGGAGCCAGAGGACCAGTTAACTATATACTAACTTCTGGTCTGGTCATGTAATTTTTTTAAATTAAAAGATGATTAAAATTTTCAGCCCAGCATTATGATGATGTCACAATAATATAATTCAATTTTTACTATTAAAACAAATTTACAATAAGATAATGCTAAAACCATTATAAATAAACAAGGACAGTAAAAAAACGTATAAATTATACATTTCATTACTATCCTTGTTTGTTTATAACAAAACCACTGATAAAAAAAAAATCATTGATAATTGCTGGTCATAATCTACAGACAAAGGTTTGAATTTGTTATTTAACAACAATAATTTTATATTTTGTGATTACTTATAATAAAAGTTCAAAACAAAAATGTAATATCTTATTCTAACACTAAATTAATTGAAGGCCAGATAGCTGAAGCATGAAGACATCAACCTGTTGTTCTTGAGCCAGGGTCTGATTTTAATTCTGATTATAAGTCCTCCTGATTTTAAAACAAATTATTTTTCTTTCAGGAGAATTTATATATTATCTACAAACTGAGACTGTCTTGAAAAGAAGTTTAAAGTTTCTAAAAAACATCATAGAAATGAATAGAACCAATCAAAAAAAGTTTGACAATGTGGTTAACACTCAAAACAGACAAAAAGAAGAAAAACATAAGATATTTCCTTTGCATCATACAGCAGAATGGGACTGAAATTTGTACAAACTTGAAAATCTGACAAAAAAATAGCATTTAAAAGAAACAGAGTAACATAAAAAGAAATAAAAAACAGAAATAAGAGAATGGAGAAAAAAGCAAATGTGTTTGAAGTTATACTAATAAATAAAATAAGGAGAGAAGTTTGTAGACGTAACAAAAAGAAACTTGAAAATGTGAATAAAAGAATGCAAAGATAATCTAAAGCAAGGGTTGGATGACTAGAAAATTGATATAAAATGTAGCAAATAAAAAAAACTGAAGTCAAATGGGAACAAATCAATACATTTGAAAGGATCAGAGTAAGAAAATGTAATATACATGGAAAGACAGATTTTCAAGATAAATATAGAGAAAAATAGTAGGAAACAGTAATGATTTCAATTCTCTTCAATGGTGTAGAGATGGTAGATACATAATGAAAACAAACACTAAAAGAGTTTATAATATAATATAATAATAACAATAATATATATATACGTAAATATAAATGATTTTGAACACCTGACAGTAGAGACAGGAAGCAAACAAAATAACAGACAAGGTAAACACTAAAAAAAAAAAATTAAATTTAAAATAGCAAAAAAAAAAAAAGTGAATGCTCTGAGTTAAAACCTGGAAGATTTGAAAGTACTAAGCAAACAAACTTTTCAATAAAGAATTTCATCCAATTCTGTAGAATAGAAATAAAAATTTTAAATAATTGTAATGATATAATAATAATAGTTGTTTTGGTTTTAAAACATAAAAATTAAATTACTGTACAGACCTGAACAGTTGAAGACTTTTCTATTTTCAGAATAGGTAAATGTAAATTATTGCCAATGATGCTCTGAGGTGGAGCTTTTGCTACTTTGTCTCGATCTGGTGAAACCTGAAAAATTAACAAAATACAAGCAAAGAAAATAACAATATATTTATTTTTATAAAATTTAAATTTAATGATTTAGAAATATTTAATAATAAAATGTCAATTTTATATTGGAAATTAATTTAGACTTTAGGTAAATTTCAAAATTTAGGAACACAAAATTTGATTTACAACAGAATTTGCATGACAAAGTATAGTTCTTATAATAGAAATAATACTGATTATAAGTACTATATTTTCAAAAATGAACATTTTTGAAAATGTTTTTGAAAATGTAGTATTTTCCATACATGGTGTATGGAAAATACTACATATCTTTGGATGAAAATTAGTAAAGCTATAAATATCATTTGAGTAACTCTTGCTATAACATTATTCTCCCATTCAGTTATTTACCTGGGTCTCCCAGAGCCTTCATAGCCAGTAGGTGTGCTCTTTTGAAACTACTATTTCCAATACTGTTATAATACAAGGAATTAAACTTGTTCTTTAGTTTTCTCACCCTCTTATTATTATTTGTTTTGGGCAGTATGTTTAATAAGGGAGAACTTTACACTCCATCAAACAAAAAAAGTGAGAGAAAGAAAGACAAAACTTATAGTCATCTTGCTATTGTTAAGGTGACTATTCTTGACTAATGTCCAATTAATTTCATATTAGGTTGTTGTATAACTTATGTCATATTTTTGGATAAAATTAAAATTGATGTAATTTTAAGAAAAAATTTATTTAGTCAACAACTTATTGGTTATTATTATCTATGACTTATCTTCAAGTAATGGGCAGTTTGTTGATTCCAAATGCAAAATATTTTTCATCTTTTTGATAAAAATTTTTTTATAGTGCATCACTTTCTCTTAGCTGATATTGATAAGATGATGCCATCTATTTCCTTATCTTTGACTTTTTTCTATCCTAAAAGCTAACCCAAGTTAGACTGCACTAAATGCTGAAAAATCTTATCATGGCAACTTTTGTAAAACAGCTCTATAAAAACTTTCAGCACTTCATCTATCTTATCGAAGTTGCTTTCAAAATCTTATAGCCATATTAATTTGATGTTACAAGGCACAGTTTAATACAATACATAATTCCAGAATACAGAATTTATTATCTGGGATATTAAATGAGTTGTGATTCTTGTACAGTAGAGCATCAATTATCCAAATATCGATCAACTGAAACATCGGTTAACCGAATGTGTTCCAGTCAGCAAATTAAAATTTTCGCTAGTGCTGTGGCACTGCGATATTTGGCTATGACTTGGGCTATTTCAATATTATTTTTGTTGGTGTGCGTGTTTTAGCTGGCAGCACTGGCATGACCATATTGTATCATTAAAAATTATTTCTTTATTTTGCACAAACAAAATAAATATATTGAAAAATATAAAAACAAAAAAATTATATTTCATAAGTTAATCTAGTATCAAAAACATTCCGATTCAGCACGACACACGTCAAGAGGATACTTAAGGACGCACTAGTATTTGAACGAGGCTTTTTCCTCCCCCCATCGTGAGTGGTGTGTTTTGCTTCAGCTCATCAGAGAATATAGCCCAAGCGGCTGACGTCTCCAGATAAACCCAAGAAAAAGAAGTTTTGCTTGTTTTGTGTAGCATTTTTCTGAGAACTGAGTTGTTGAAACACATGTCATGCTGAATCAGAACGTTTTTGATACTAGATTAACTTCTGAAATATAATTTTTTTTTGCTTTTATATTTTTCAATATATTTATTTTGTTTGTGCAAAATAAAAAAATANGTGTCATGCTGAATCAGAACGTTTTTGATACTAGATTAACTTCTGAAATATAATTTTTTTTTGCTTTTATATTTTTCAATATATTTATTTTGTTTGTGCAAAATAAAAAAATAATTTTTTACGATACAATAGCCACAATTATTATTTTAAAAAAATTTTTGTTAGGCTTAACATTGATGAAAATTCAATGCAAAGCGACATGCAATGGAGAAAAATTTCAACATGGGATAGGTTATTATATTTTTTCATACATGATCAGTTATCCGAAAAATCAGTTATTCAAACAACCTCAGTCCCAAATTGTTTCAGATGATCGATGCTTTACTGTATTTTCTATCTTCACATTTGTCACTATTTAAGAGAGAGCTTAAATATTTAACATCACCTGGTTTTGAACTTACACCAGCTACACTGATGTTTGTGATACCAAGCCAAGTAATACTACCACTTTGGGACTAATCTGTATGTTCACTAGCACCAATTTTTTATTCTTTTATATAACTGACTGGGAGGTATTTGCAAACTAAGTGTTGAATTTCTTGAATTATTTCTATGGGTTATGTTGTTTTTTTGTCACCGTGTGTGCGTGTGTGTGTGTATATTCACTAACTCATGGATAAAATAATATATACAGTAGAACCTCGATTATCCGGATCTCTATTATCCGGATTTTCGATTATCCGGATTGTTCAAAATAAACAAAAATTTTACGAATTTGCTGATTTGCGCTTGGCAAATTACGACACTGTTTATGTACGTGATAGAATGCATAACTTTTTTTTGTTTCAACATCATCTCCCCAGCACAGTAAACACAGTGGTTGTAAACTCTTAAATATATTTTACATCGTAATAAAAATATAACTTGACATACGTATTTATAAATAATTTATATTCAAATTACATCATTTCTATGACAAAGGGCGACGTAAGGCATGGACGACATATGCGTCACGGTCCGAAGGGCCTCACACCTCGAAGGTTTATGCATTACTTAAAAGCCGCGAACACGACGAAAAAATTTTACTCATCATAAAATGATAAATAGTTTGTCAAATTTTTATTCATAAAAGTGCAGTTTCAACTGCTTTTTATTTTATAAAATCCGTTTTCTTGTGCCATCAGAGGGCCTTTTAAACAATAGGTAGTCTGTTATCGCTGGTCAGTAGTAGTCCAAATTCAATACAAACATTTGTTTCTTGAAAATTTGATCACGATTTAAATACAGTATTTATTTTTAATATTGCCGATATGTCATCAAAAAGAAAACGTGTTGTATTATCATTAAAAGACAAATTAAAGTATTTGTTTTGATTATCCGAATTTTTCCTTATTCGGACTACCTTCATCCCCAATTAGTCCGGATAATCGAGGTTCTACTGTATATAAATATTTTATTGAATATTTTATCCGTGGCTTAATAAATAATGTTTTTTATATATTACAGAAAGTGTTGTTTGGAAAAATGTGTAGCAAATATAACATGACAAAAAAATCTCTTATATGAGTAAAATATGAATAATTTGAATGACATAATCTACATGATCATTTTAATTTATCACATTCCTGAACTTTTTAATTCACCACAGAAATAATTAATTTTAATTATAAATTGCTTTCAAACCTGTTGTACTTGAGATAAAGGTGGTCTTCCCGGTTTCTTTTTTTCTGTTGGAGGCCTACCTGGACCAGTATGGCCAGTTTCTATTTTTCGTTTTACAGGAACATGCACAGGTGTTACAGGAATGGAAGTAGGTTTTAAAACAGACTGTTCTTTTTGTTGTCTTTCCGTTCTGACAACAAATGAATAATTATGAGAAAGAAAAACTATTAGAATTTTAAATAAAATAAAATTATATAAAATTGTTTATACTCTATGAATTTGTCATTTGTTGACTGTACTACAGTTGATGCTGCCTCTTGTGGTATTGGGGTAACTTGAATTTGAGATGCCTGTGGTGTTGGTAACTGTAAATTTTAATCATTAGAAATTAATAATAATTTTATATATTTTAAAATTTATTATCATTAAATAAATTTTTGTTTTGATACTTCTTATATCTACTTTTGCAATATTTTTTTCAGAATTTTAAACAATATATACAATAAAATTGAACATAAAAATTGAACAATAAAATTGAAAATACTGCTCACTTAGTTCATTTACTAGTGATTTATGAGAATGAATAACCATCTATTATATAATTTCTTATAACACAGTGATCTTTTAAAAGTATTATTATTTAACATAATCCCTTTGCTTTCTCAATGCACTTAGTCATTCCTGCATAGGCTTTTTAATTCCTTCAAAACAAAGTTCTTTATATATGTATCAAGTCTGCATCTCTGTTATGCAGTTTGCATGTGACTTTTTGTTGTCATGGTAAAGCATTTTTAGCAATCTTTGTGGGTAAAATGTATTAGAAATGCTTCTTCAGCATATCTAATACAAGATAAATAGAGAACAGTAAAGTTCTCTGTTTAGAATACAGAATAGTCAAAGATATTATTTCTAAAATCACTATTTCATTGCTGTCTTATCTACCTCAAAGTAACAATATTACTCTTTCCTATTACTATATTTTTGATCCTTTGAAAAATGTACTTCATTATACAACATTTGAACGTAATAAGTAAACCATTTCTGAGAAAAAGTGATATGATACAAGTGTAAACATTCTCACATCTCACTAACATGAGACCATAGACTGAATGGACTCTATGTTAAAGAATAGTTAATAATAGCCAAATATTCAGGCAACAATGTGACATACTTAAAATTAAAAAAAAACTGAATGAGATGAAAAATCTTGTTGCGTTATTTTCTGGGTAATGCTTATATCATATCATCAAATTTAAGCATTAANAATTTATCACATTCCTGAACTTTTTAATTCACCACAGAAATAATTAATTTTAATTATAAATTGCTTTCAAACCTGTTGTACTTGAGATAAAGGTGGTCTTCCCGGTTTCTTTTTTTCTGTTGGAGGCCTACCTGGACCAGTATGGCCAGTTTCTATTTTTCGTTTTACAGGAACATGCACAGGTGTTACAGGAATGGAAGTAGGTTTTAAAACAGACTGTTCTTTTTGTTGTCTTTCCGTTCTGACAACAAATGAATAATTATGAGAAAGAAAAACTATTAGAATTTTAAATAAAATAAAATTATATAAAATTGTTTATACTCTATGAATTTGTCATTTGTTGACTGTACTACAGTTGATGCTGCCTCTTGTGGTATTGGGGTAACTTGAATTTGAGATGCCTGTGGTGTTGGTAACTGTAAATTTTAATCATTAGAAATTAATAATAATTTTATATATTTTAAAATTTATTATCATTAAATAAATTTTTGTTTTGATACTTCTTATATCTACTTTTGCAATATTTTTTTCAGAATTTTAAACAATATATACAATAAAATTGAACATAAAAATTGAACAATAAAATTGAAAATACTGCTCACTTAGTTCATTTACTAGTGATTTATGAGAATGAATAACCATCTATTATATAATTTCTTATAACACAGTGATCTTTTAAAAGTATTATTATTTAACATAATCCCTTTGCTTTCTCAATGCACTTAGTCATTCCTGCATAGGCTTTTTAATTCCTTCAAAACAAAGTTCTTTATATATGTATCAAGTCTGCATCTCTGTTATGCAGTTTGCATGTGACTTTTTGTTGTCATGGTAAAGCATTTTTAGCAATCTTTGTGGGTAAAATGTATTAGAAATGCTTCTTCAGCATATCTAATACAAGATAAATAGAGAACAGTAAAGTTCTCTGTTTAGAATACAGAATAGTCAAAGATATTATTTCTAAAATCACTATTTCATTGCTGTCTTATCTACCTCAAAGTAACAATATTACTCTTTCCTATTACTATATTTTTGATCCTTTGAAAAATGTACTTCATTATACAACATTTGAACGTAATAAGTAAACCATTTCTGAGAAAAAGTGATATGATACAAGTGTAAACATTCTCACATCTCACTAACATGAGACCATAGACTGAATGGACTCTATGTTAAAGAATAGTTAATAATAGCCAAATATTCAGGCAACAATGTGACATACTTAAAATTAAAAAAAAACTGAATGAGATGAAAAATCTTGTTGCGTTATTTTCTGGGTAATGCTTATATCATATCATCAAATTTAAGCATTAAATAAGAATATAGTGGAATATAATTATTATAAAATTTAAGATTAAATTTTTAACATTTAAAGTTAAATGATCCTAAAGAAATCTACCTACATATAAATATATTTCAGAATCAAATATCATTCAAATTTGAAACACTAATTAATTCTGAAATATAGTTTTGTTTTATCCCAAAATATTTAGTACATGAGAATAACCAAATCCAAAAATGTACTAAGATTTAGATGTACTACAATTTAACTAATAAATATCAAACTATTTATTAACTGTATTGAATATAAATAGAATTAAAAAAATAAAAAAAATTGAAGCAGTTTTGGTATTCATATTTTAAAAATAATATATAATGAATGATTGTATATATTAAAATAAAAAATATTTTTTAATTATAAATGTATAACAAATGAATAATGACAATTTACATAATATTTTAAATTGTTTAAAATGGCTTCTGGTGATGATTTCATCCTTATAATACTATATAATCAAACTTATTCAAAATTAAATGAGTATTATAAACATAAAATAAAACAAAGAAGTCATTTTGCATGACTAATAAGCAGCATTACCACAATAAAATTTCAAAATGTACTGAAGCTCCTTCAAAAAATGTATTATTTTCCTTCAAAATGTACTATTTCTATGGTTGGTTACTTTTAATATTAATATACCATCATAATACTCAATTTTTGTGCTTATTTCAAATTCTTATTCAAATTCATACATTGTTCAATATGAATACTTTAATTTAAAATTAAATATTTCATTAAAAAATTTTATGAAAATAGTTTCTATGGCTTTTTGTTAAATACAACATTAAAAGTTGATTTTTTTAAAATATTATAGTGTTGGATAAAAAAAATTATAAATTAAATATGCGTGGACAGATTCAAATTAAAAAAAATTATTTCTTTTACCAAGATTACTAAAATTGAAGTTCATAATTAAGAATTAAATTATAGTGGTAGAAAATAATATAAAAGTATTTATATTATTTATACTTATACTATACAATTTCAAAACTATTTTGTGTAATAATTCAACTCTGACTTAACAGCTATTTTAATATTACTGACGACAAAAGTTTAAAATCATTGATTTCCTTATCTGTCCATTATTTTTGTTTGACAGAGTTAAATTGTTTGGACCACGTAGCATGAAAAATTTTGTCAAGGTCCTCGTGAGAATGTGTAGACAACTGAAATGTGTGACACGTGTGAAAGAGAACCACTAAGTCATAACATTTGCTCATGCAACTATCTGTATGTTGTTGATGTCGACCAACATATACCATGTGTATGTTGTGATTGGGTAAATCAAATTAGCAAGCAGTGACACTAGTACGACTTTATTAAGCTAATTTTTTCACGTTTTTTCATTAAGGCATGAAATATTGTTTTGTACCATTAATGGGACTGAAATATTATAATGTACTCAAAATGTACTAAAAATGTAAGTGTACTTTCGATGTACTCAAAAGGGCAAAATGTACCCAAAGAGTACAAATGTACTAGGAATGGCAATGCTGCTAATAAGTATAATAAATATTAAAGCGATATTCCTCATTTTTTACANCAAAACTATTTTCTGTAATAATTTGTTTCTGACTTAACGGATATTTTGATATTATTGACGACAAAAGTTTAAAATCATTGATTTCCTTATCTGTCCATTATTTTTGTTTGACGGAGTTGAATTGTTTGGACCATGTGGCATGAAAAATTTTGTCAAGGTCCTCGTGAGAATGTGTAGACAACTGAAACGTGTAACATGTGTGAAAGAGGACCACTGAATCATAACATTTGCACATGCAACTATCTGTATGTTGTTGATGTCGACTGACATACACCATGTGTATGTTGTGATTGGGTAAATCAAATTAGCAAGCAGTGACACTAGTACGACTTTATTAAACTAATTTTTTTTTCGCATTTTTTCGTTAAGGCACGAAATATTATTTTGTACCATAAATGGGACTGAAATATTATAATGTACTCAAAATGTACTAAAAATGTAAGTGTACTTTCGATGTACTTGAAAGGGCAAAATGTACCCAAAAAGTACAAATGTACTAGGAATGGCAACGCTGCTAATAAGTATAATAAATATTAAAGCGATATTCCTCGTTTTTTACATGAATTCAAAGAGAATGTGATCCTATTCATTATCATTTAGTGCTTATGAAAATGAAATAATTTAATGAGAGAGTAACCAAAATAATGAAGTATGTCACAATTCACGGCCTATCAATATGATGCAGGGATTGTGTTAAATATTAATATGCATAAAAATTTAATATCTAAATCAATGGAGTAAAAAAAATTATAACTAACAAAAGTAAAATAAACTGTGTATTAGATATATACCTTAACTTCAGCCATAGTTATAACTGGTGTTGTCAAAGTAGACTGGGTAGTAGTTTTAGTAGTCATTGTTGAGCCTGTAACAGTGACAACAACAGTTGTTGTTGTGGTTGTTGTGGCTGTAGTTGTGGTTGTTGATGGAGAAGATTGACTTGTTGACAATTTTTGAGGAGGATTAATAATTGGACCACTTGATTCATCCCTCTTTTCAATAACAATACGACTTTTACTTTCAGATGACGAACTAAATGTTGGTGGAGCTCTACTATTAAATGGTACAGGAATGTCCCTAAACAAAATAAGAATAGGTATAAATTAGCATGCAAAACTTACCAATAAAAGATAAAAAAGGAATGATAAGTAAATAAATAGATTTATAGAAAATCATTAGAATCCTATCCATTTACAATGTTTTCAAAACAAAAATATCTACAGTAAGCTAATATTTTACATACAAACTTATTTAAAACATTTTAAATTAAAATTATTCTTAATTAAGTTTTTATAAATTGTTTTATTTTTACATTTGTTTTTCTGTTTATTTTGAAGTTCTACCAGCTGAATACAATTTTGTGTAATTGATAAAGAACAACACGGTTGAATTTACTATTATAATACTTATTATATACACAGGTCCATACAGGTAATTCCATCTGTGATTCCATGACCAATTATGATATTATTCCCTGACCTATTAAGGTCTCTGCATTTCCCCTTTCCATTATGTAATATTTGACTAAGTCTATTTAAGCCAATTTTGTATACAATTATATAATTTTTTTATTAAAAACACTTTATTCACTTACAAGAAACAAAAACATTCAAATAAAATCCATTACATAAGTGTTTCCAAACTTTCTGTACCACCTCTTTTTTTCAGAAAAAAATTGTTGCACTCCCCTCAATTTTCGTAAATACTGTTCTTATAATTTATTTAATGTCCTATAAAACAATATACCTTATTAAATAAAGTATGTCGTTTGCTGGGACTTGACTCTTGTCGAGACATTTAGGCAAGTGTGTAGATGGATTTTTAGTATTCATACTCAAGTCATTCAGACAAGGTTGACTCTGCTAGAGGAAGAAATTGCTTATTGTGTGCTATTTTTAGTCCACATGGACTCATTCAAGGTCATTACTTTTCTTCCCATTCCTTCCATGGGAGTGGCAGAGTTTTGGCAGGAAAGCAGTCATTGTTAATAATGTTTTTGAAAACCCGACTTTAACTCTATAGTGATATTTTGATATACTTGCAAAATTCCACAGGCTATTCGAAGATGAAAGTTTGTAGTTTAGAGAAAAGATATATCATATCTCATCATTCCATCAAAATTGTCAAGATTATCTCCACATAATGTATGTGGCCAGCAGCAAAAAATAAAAATACGTGAATTGTGCGAGGTCTGCCACTTGGACCAAAATGTCTCATACAAAACATTGTTAAGCCAACTAGCAGTTCTTTGCCTTCCCCCACAACATCAACTGACTGCAATGAGTTAACCAAATTTTGCAAGTCAAATAAATTGGGAGGGTTGTGTATGGGACACAATTGCAATCGTTTAAGGCATAAATCCATCTGTGTTATTAGATGAAGGATAAGATGTAAACAAATAAAGTCTTGGTGATTATAGATTTTAAGTCAATATCTATCAGTTTGAGCAGCAGCACACTCAAAATATTCATGTTGAAATTGACACATTCAGTTTTTTTATGCTCTCTATACAAAATGCATTAGTCCTTTTGGACTTTTCTGAATCCTTTGAAATTTCTTTTCCAATGATATACGTTTCTTACATTTCTGTTCATATTTCCTTTGCAATTTCTTTGACATTGTGAAAGTTTTCTTCAACTCACAATTATCAGCTTATAACTTTAAACATTCTATTTTATTGGTTATTACTGCTAAATAATATTGTAGATCCTGTCATTCTATACAAATTGACACCAATTTCAATGTCCCATCTCTTCATGATCCAAAGTTTCCACCATTTTTGGTGTTCATGCACAACCACTACCCCTCCCCACCACTCCCATTCTTATTTCCCCTTCCCATTACTCACCATTTTAATTAAATACAGACATAAACCTCCTTCTATCCAACAAAATTTAAATCATTAGATTATCATTTATAGTTTACAAGATAAATAACAAAAGTTGTTATGCTAATGTCTGGTTGCTCCAGTTTTCATACACTCCTATACTAAACTGAATTTAAAGACATGTTCAGATAAAAAATGAGTGAGAGTGACAGATTGATTCCATGGTATTTGCAATTCTCTGACTTTCCAAGTCTGTATAGATCCCATATACTGTATTTCATACATAAAATTTTGAAAACTTTTTCAAGGAAAACATCACCCAAATATGCATTAAACTCATATACATAATTATAAAAATAACAATACATTTGTGTGTGTGTGTAAGTAAGTTTATTGTAATAGGGTTAACCTGTTACAAGGGGATTCCAAATAGTAACCAACCGCAGTTGGTTTTATCTTGTTATAACATATTATTTTCACTATAGTAACATCTTATCAGTTTTCTTGATCATACATTTTTGTAGTATTATAAACTTAAAATTTAAAGTTGCAAAACATACTACTCAGTCACAAAAACTTATTTGAGCTATTTATGAACTATAAACAATTATAAATGTTTGACAAATGATAAAACAGATACTTGATTTATTCATTAATATTCTTGTTCAACACTTTGTATGTGTGTGCATGTGTGTGTGTGTATATGTATATATATATATATATATAAAATGTACAGTAAGTGTCACTTATACTTATTTTAATCACAAGTATTTTATCAGTCATCTAATGTTATTAGAATCATACCCCAAAACATTTAAAAACTTTTGCTTATTGTGTAATTAGATAAATTTGCTTATATTTATCATTGTGTTACTAATGATAAGTTTGAATTTACTTAGATAGTTAATAGCATCCAATTTATAAAAAAAAAATAACAGTTACAAGCCATGTCATTCCAATAAAAACCATTAAACATTTATTTAATCTTGTGCTTAATACTGTACACAGTACTGTAGTTTAAAATTTGATTTCTGCATTCGTTACTTCTTTATATGCTATTCTTTATATTCGTTACTTCTTTATATGCTATTTGCTATTGTTGAAAACTGTGATCTTCATTACTGTTTAAATAAAGCATAATACTCTACTTCACTACTCAGCATAATGGGTGAAGCAAATAATCAAAAATCAGAGATTTATTCCTCAAAGATAAACTTCAAATTTTAAAATGTTATGTTAAGTTGTCAAAGATAAGTCAATGTAATGCTACTGCAAATATTTTTAAAAACAGTGAACATTGAAATATCAGCAGTAAAATAAGAACATAATTTCTGGATGAAAATCATGCAAATACCAAACCAAAAAAGATAGTAAAGTTGAATTAGCTTTGAAGCTTTGATTTAATTATGTTCATACAGTAAAAATTCACCTGTTGTATCACTAATGTTTCACAAAGCAGAAGAATTAGCTAAAAATATGAAAAAAGAAAATTTAATTGCAACTAATGGGTGGCTCAACTGGTGGGGAAAATGAGAATATTGTGTATAGATGCATTCATTTAAATTATATAAACGAATGGTATAATTTTCATTTATCCATAAAATTCTTAATAAAATAAAAATATTAGTGGGTATTTGAAATGTATGTCTTCAGACAACATGGATCAAGTATACAGTATGCTATTAAAAAAATTAATAAAACTACTTTTAAATTAAAATACTATTGAAAAAATATTCAACATTTAAAATATTTTCTAATATTTAAGTCTTTTATTCTATATTGTATTTTCTAATGTATATTGAATTCATACTAAAAATATTTACACATTTATATTTTGATTCATTAAAGAATCAAAAATACTATAAAAATTAATATGTTTTACAGCTAATACTAATATTTTGCTATTAAACTTAATTTTAATTAAATTTTTAAAATCTTCATATAAATGATAATGATAAAATTTTAAGTATCTAGAAAAATATAAGAATTTAAAGTTTACTGATATTTACCCAACATCAGGTGCAGGTGGAATAAAGAGAGGAGTGATTCTTCTTCTTCCATCTGGCATTCTTGTTTCAATTTGTTTATCTATTGGGCCCTGTAAGAAATTCATGCATGAAATTCATTTAAAAACGAGCAACTAAAACTGAAAAAATAATATAACTACAGATTATATAGTTATTTGTGTAAATAGAATATATCTATTTACACAATTCTACATATAATATATATAATTATTAAAATTTTAAACAAAAACAAGTCATTCTTCACTTGATAATATGATTGAAAATTTATAATAATATGTAGAAAAGTTTCTTCATTTCTAATAAAGAAAATTCAAAGAATAGCAATTGGAAATGAAATTCTTATTAGTTGAAATATTGTTCAATGACTAAACTGTATGTTAAAATTTTCTCATCATCAAAATAAATTCAAATTTAATAGCATGCAAATTCATATGGCAATATTTATTATTAATTATACTTTGTATTTCATAACAGAATCTCATCAAGAAACATTGAATGTTTTGAACAATATATTTAGCAATAGCTTCAGTACTAACTTTGCTTATTTCTTGTTTGTTAACTTTAATATTAGTTAACCTGAACAATGTTTCCTGATTTTGATAATTATATGTATTAAAATATGGATATATTCTAATTATTTTCAAAAAACTAACAATAATTAATACTTTATTTCATTAAAAAGTTTATTATGTTTTATCATAGGAATCTGACAGATGTTCTCATGAGATATAATAAGCATTCCATTATATAAATTATTAGTACATTATAGATTTAAATTAAGGTATTATTTTTACCTTAATCTGTACAGCTTGTCGATTAACACTAAGCTGTTCTGATGGCTTTGCAACACCATTTTCCTTAATAACACTGTTTGTTTTATTTGCCATATTTTCTTTTTGTATCATTTCTTTCTTTTGTTCTTCCTGTAATTTTAACATTTCTGGATTTTCTATAACAGTTGTAGCAGTACTATGGTTAGTCATTGCCAAACTTTTACCATACAAACGCTGATGAAGAAAACTCTAATTATTATTAAAATAAATATTTTAAATTAATTTAAAATTCAAATTTTTTATCTTCAAGTATTTATATTTTATTAAATATCATAAAATACCTTCTCTTCTGAAGATATAGGTTTACCAATCTCTTCCTCACCAAAATCAATATATGCAACTGTACCATCCCAAGAACAGACAATTAACTGATTACCTGTTTGACTCCTAAAAATCAAATATTAGCCAATTATTTCATAAATTAAATTAAAATGTAACGTTTAATCCTGTACTTCCTACAGGATCTGTTCTAAATTTTCAAGCAGTAGAGCGATTAGAGAAAGGAAAAGGAGGTAAGATCCCTTTACCTTTGTAAATACGTAAATAAATCAAATACAGTAAAAAACTTGTCCAAAACGAAACCTGAGTAAAACGGAAACTTACCTAAACGAGAAAAGTTCTTCCGAACAGAGCTATTTTCTATGTAAAAAGCAGTGATTTCAGAACAGAAATCTGTGAAACCGGAAAATATATTAGCCTATCCCCTGTCNCTTCAGTACTAACTTTGCTTATTTCTTGTTTGTTAACTTTAATATTAGTTAACCTGAACAATGTTTCCTGATTTTGATAATTATATGTATTAAAATATGGATATATTCTAATTATTTTCAAAAAACTAACAATAATTAATACTTTATTTCATTAAAAAGTTTATTATGTTTTATCATAGGAATCTGACAGATGTTCTCATGAGATATAATAAGCATTCCATTATATAAATTATTAGTACATTATAGATTTAAATTAAGGTATTATTTTTACCTTAATCTGTACAGCTTGTCGATTAACACTAAGCTGTTCTGATGGCTTTGCAACACCATTTTCCTTAATAACACTGTTTGTTTTATTTGCCATATTTTCTTTTTGTATCATTTCTTTCTTTTGTTCTTCCTGTAATTTTAACATTTCTGGATTTTCTATAACAGTTGTAGCAGTACTATGGTTAGTCATTGCCAAACTTTTACCATACAAACGCTGATGAAGAAAACTCTAATTATTATTAAAATAAATATTTTAAATTAATTTAAAATTCAAATTTTTTATCTTCAAGTATTTATATTTTATTAAATATCATAAAATACCTTCTCTTCTGAAGATATAGGTTTACCAATCTCTTCCTCACCAAAATCAATATATGCAACTGTACCATCCCAAGAACAGACAATTAACTGATTACCTGTTTGACTCCTAAAAATCAAATATTAGCCAATTATTTCATAAATTAAATTAAAATGTTATTAGTATAGTTAAATTTTATATAATTAATATAGTTTAAAATACACGAGTAACATTAGAAAAATACTCCTAAAATGTAAATAAATATAAAAAATATTAAAATCTAAACATAAATTTTAAAAATTGAGTGTGAACAGATTCAAATAACTATTCTAATAATATAGAATTAATAACAAATATTAAATTATCAGTCGGAATAAACTCAACCAATTATTTAAAACTGAATATATAACAAAGTCATTACAGAAAATGACTTTGTTGCAGATTTAATTTTAAATTTTCTGTACAGAAAACTTTTACTATGTCATAATACATTCTTCATATCATATATATGTTATATAAAATATTAAAAATATCTTTATTTTTCCATTCTGTTCACAGCTTATGATGCTTATTTTCAGTAAAGAGGAAAATATGGAAGTCAAAATGTGTTTTCATCTTACACTTTGATTATGCATTATTATTTTAATTCTAATTTTTGTAAAGTAGATGATTGATACTATAATCCTAGAAATTTCAAAGTAAAATGCAAAAGAACAAATATACTCAAACAGAAAACATCTTTCTTATACAGAAAATTATTTGTTCATCAATCATAAGCATGCATAATTAAGAATCTTCAAATCTTCAATTTTCTGTTGTATGACTGTAGGATTGTAGGATACATAAACACATTGTCTCTCTCACTATATATGTGTGCATAATTTCATTTGGATGCAATTCCATCAAAGTTATATATTACATATACTCTTATTATATTGTTTAAAATCTTTAGTTATAATAATAAATTACTTAACACAATATAATTTAAACACTACATAAAAATTTAAAGCAGCATAAAAAAAAATTTTTTTTAAAGACATTTCTGGTTATCAAAAATATTTTAAATGAAATAAACTGTGATTGTTAAAAGTTCTCTGTATGTAAATGAATTCAAAATCAATAAAAAATTACTATACTTNGAATAAACTCAACCAATTATTTAAAACTGAATATATAACAAAGTCATTACAGAAAATGACTTTGTTGCAGATTTAATTTTAAATTTTCTGTACAGAAAACTTTTACTATGTCATAATACATTCTTCATATCATATATATGTTATATAAAATATTAAAAATATCTTTATTTTTCCATTCTGTTCACAGCTTATGATGCTTATTTTCAGTAAAGAGGAAAATATGGAAGTCAAAATGTGTTTTCATCTTACACTTTGATTATGCATTATTATTTTAATTCTAATTTTTGTAAAGTAGATGATTGATACTATAATCCTAGAAATTTCAAAGTAAAATGCAAAAGAACAAATATACTCAAACAGAAAACATCTTTCTTATACAGAAAATTATTTGTTCATCAATCATAAGCATGCATAATTAAGAATCTTCAAATCTTCAATTTTCTGTTGTATGACTGTAGGATTGTAGGATACATAAACACATTGTCTCTCTCACTATATATGTGTGCATAATTTCATTTGGATGCAATTCCATCAAAGTTATATATTACATATACTCTTATTATATTGTTTAAAATCTTTAGTTATAATAATAAATTACTTAACACAATATAATTTAAACACTACATAAAAATTTAAAGCAGCATAAAAAAAAATTTTTTTTAAAGACATTTCTGGTTATCAAAAATATTTTAAATGAAATAAACTGTGATTGTTAAAAGTTCTCTGTATGTAAATGAATTCAAAATCAATAAAAAATTACTATACTTTAAAAAACTTATTTTAAAAAATACATTATGAAATATTTAAGAAATTTCACATTTCATAATTTTGTTCATTAGAAATCATCATTTAATTTTTTGGTTTTAACTTGATTATAAAAAGATTACAAGAAGGTTAATAAACTCACCATGAAATATCAAGAACAGAATTTGAAAATAAATCATGAATGACAACAAGAGGCCTTTTTAAACATGTCAGCTGGAAAAAAATTGAATTATAAATTTATACAATTAAGATAAATTAAAATTTCATAATATTTATAACTATATCATTTATTTTTAATTCATTTCTTTTAATTGAAACCAATATAAATCAAAATACATTCTAAAGAGAGAGAAATTATATTTGAGATATTTTAAGTCATTATCTAGTATTGTATTTATATTTAAATACATTTATTATCCACATAAAAGTTGAATTTACAATGAGAATTGATATTCATTTAAAAATAAGATTTACAATTTATAATTTAAGTTGCTAATGAATTCTCATTATATGAATATATCATAATTGTTATTTTAATTTTAAACACACATTAATTTTATAAATTAAAACAGTCTTTTTCAATTGATGTGCTACTACTTATTTACAATTTTACAATTGATGTTCTACTTTTTCAATTGATTTTCTTCTTTATGCAGAACTTTAATATTATCCAAGTTCTGCATAAAGAATAAAATCAATTTAAATGTAGATTTAGAGCATATTGAAATCTGGAGATATGAAAATAATATTAATTTAAATAAAGGAATGCAAATACAACCATGTTGGTATGATGTCATACATAGTAAGCACCATGTTGATCAGTGAACTACTGATAGTTAGTCACTTGTCTTGACAGTGTTACGCTGGAAAGCTCTTCACAATGAAAGTTTATTCTATAAGAATAATATGACATATAATAACATAAGTATTCTATAATTTGTTATAGTAGCATGTGTTTTATAAAGGTTCAGTCAAATTCTTTAGATATACATGAATGTAACACTCACCAGCACTTAAATGATAACATGGATGAAAATCCTGGTGAATATGTTAGGCATAGGCCAATTCGTTACTAACCACAACTTATTTGATAAATTTTAATTGTTTATTGTTATAATAAGTACTCTCAAGTTTTATTATTGTATTTTAAATAAGCCCTAACATCACCTGAAGTTTTTTACTAGTGTTTAATCGTCAAGGATTTCAAATACCACTTGATAGAAATGTCCTCTGCATAAATACTTATAAGCGTCATGTTTTAATTTGTAATAACCTGAATTGTACTTGTATTTATATAATTTTTTAAAAGTTTTCTATCATTTTTTAGATGTGACACTGAAAAGGAATCACTAAACATTGTGATTCAAAATATATTTATACTAGTGAGAAATAAATAAATGTGTCAAAAATAGCATAGTTACTTGAGTTGCTGCAAGTCAGACAATTGAAATTTGGAACAGAATAGTGTAGCAAAACTTTAGTTTATGAATTAAAAAAGACGTAAGAGAAATTTATCATGTAAAAATTAAAATAATTAATAATTAAATAATGTTTAAAATTACTACTAAGGTTGCTAAATATATTAAAACATGCATTTTGAATAAGATAAAATTTAAATATTCATAAAAAATAAATAAATAAACATAATTTACAATATTTTTGGTGTTCCAAAAATAAAGAGTTGTTAGGATTTATGAGATAAATATTTACGAATAATAATAAATGTAGTTTTAAAATAAATTTTAAATTAGTTCAGTAAAAATCAAACCGTATAACTGTTATTTATACATATTTATAAATAACAATTATAAATTAACTGTGTATGTAGTGTTATTTATATAGTGTTTTAACTTATATAAATTATAACGTAAATATTAATTTGTTCAAACTATATATAAAAGTAATGTGACCGAAATTCTGCATATTCTACATTACACCAAATACAGAAATAAAATTTATAATTTTAAAATTTGCATTTGTAAGAACAAAAGATTCTTCTAAACTCCACGATGATTACATGTCATTGGTATATAAAAATATCTTATCTTTTACACATAAAAATAATATTTTACAGATTTTCTTAAAAGACAATTAAAAGAAATAATCTCGAGAACAGAGTTAAACAGATGAAAGTCAAGACCAGATACAAAAAGCTTGGGGCAGGCAGCCCTGATTAAGTATACACGAAATTCTGGTTTTCACTGGAAGTCATATTATTACAATTCAAATATTTTCCCCTGAAAGGAGTTATTTAGATGACTGGCACAACTCTATTGCTAGCAGTAAAAGTGTGATGTACAGGGGCAAGACACTACTAATTTGAGGTGGAGATCATACATTTTAAATCAAATTAGAAATATGATTAAAAATTTCAGCCCAGCAATGACATCACAATAAATAATTGTTTATTTAATTATATACTTAAATAAAAAAATACATTATGTTTAAGAATGCTTAAATTTTTCTTTTATTTATGCTTTGTAAGATTATTCTTTATTCTGAATTACTTTTTTGTTTAACTTAGAAATAACAAAAACAAACTAAAACTTTTTTTAAATAAAAATAAAAATAGATCATTTCTTTTTATAAATCTTTCCATTTTCATTAAAAATTCAAAATAAATAGTTTGAATTGTTTTCTATGTAGAAAATATATTAATGAAAGTGAAATGTTGAATATCTCAAGTAACATTTTGTAGCTTAAAATTACCGTTTTGAAAATTATAGTAATTAAAAAATAATTATAAAGTTAATAAAATACTATAATAAAGTGAATTTAAGATCTTATGCTAGATTTGTTTTATATTCTCTTATATTAAAATGAAGTAATGCTAATCTATTGACAAACAAGATTTCTTACCCAAACTGATAACGACCTATCACGACTTCCAATTGCACAACAACAGAAGTGATGTACCTAATCATAATGATATCATTTGTTGTATTATATTGAATTTTAATTAAATAGATTATAATGACAATTTACCTTTTCATTTTCTTTATTTATCTTTGATAGAATATTAGGATTAAATCGCTGTAATTAAAAAAATCAGTTGTATCTTAAATAATTACAATTTAAAAATTATTTTTATTTTATAAAAATTTTATATATATATTAGAAATAGTTTTTGTTAAATTAAATGTAAAACCTAAATTAAACTAGCAACGTATTTTGTAATATTTGATTACTTTAATAAAATATTTGAAAGAAAATATTTTTGTTTTAAAATTCAAAATGGAAACTTTTGACATAAACTATTTTACAAACATCGCTAAACCCGATATATAACATAACTAAACACCAACGATATGCCGAAAATCTATCGGGCTAGTATTAGGCTAATTACTAAATGAATTACGTAACCAAATTTGGCTCTAGAGGTAGGCGTTAGGTGCAACCATAC